CTGAGTTCGTACGAGTCAAGGTTTATAAAAAAAGAGAGACAGCTGCACTTTCCAGGAGTAAGCTTCTGCTGCTGTTGCTGCTGCTGCTGCTGCTGTTGCTGTTGTTGCTGCTACTGCTGCTGCTGTTGCTGCTGCTCCTCAGCGTGCTGCTGCTGCTGCAGGGCTTTGTATTGCTGCGCTTGCTGCTGCTGCTGCGGGTGTAATTTCAACTGCTGCTGTTGCTGCTGCCGCTGCAGCAGCAACAGTAGCAGCAGCCGCTTGCATGCTTGCTGCCACGCTTGCTGCTGCTGCTGCTGCTGTTGCTGCTGTTGCTGCAGGTAGCGGGTTCGTTCTTTAGGCTGATGAGTCTAGGGGGCGGTGGCGCTCCAGCAGCAGCAGCAGCAGAAGACAGCAGCAGCGTTTTGCCTGCTGTTGCTGCTGCTGCTCCATCAGCAGCAGCAGCTGCTGCAGCACCTGCTGCTGCTGCTGGTAGTTTTTTCTCTTTTTTCCCCCGTATATCAGAGACAACATTTGATGCTGCAGCAGCAATTAGGAGCCGACTTGCTGCTGCATGCAGCAGCTTTGTTGCTGCTGCTGCTGCACTGCGTAGGTCTCACGCATCCTTCGTTTATTTGTCTGTTATTTTTATTATTTTTTTAATTTGCTGCTGTCTGTCTCTTTTGCATGCATTTTTGCTTCTATCTGTTGGGGTGTCTCCTCATCTCTTTGTTTGTCTGTCTCTGTATTTTATCTGTCTCTTATCTTTCTTTAATTTCTTTTTGTTTTAAATATCTGTTTATTGTCTCTTTATCTTTATTATTATTAATTAATTATTTTATTTTATTTTATTTTATTATTATTTATTTTATTGCTTTTCGCTGTTCTTAGTTTGCATTGAGGCGGATGAGTTGTTGTCGCGAGTTGGTGAAGAGACGTCTTCTTCTTCTTTATCTTCTTCTTTATCTTCTTCTTTATCTTCTTCTTCTTTATCTTCTTCTTCTTCTTCTTCTTCTTCATCTTCGTTAACAGACAGAGCAGCAAAGTTGAGGGCTCTGCCGTGCATGCAGCCAGGCAAGTTCTCCTATTATTGCTGAAGCAGCAGCAGCAGCAGCAGCAACAGCAGCAACAGAAGCAGCACCAGCAACAGAAGCAGCAACAGAAGCAGCAACAGCAACAGCAAGGTGTCTCTATATATGCTGACTTTATAAAAGGGTTTAGGGTTTGTATGGGTTGATTGAAAGGGTTTAGGGTTTAGACTTTAGGGTTTAGGGTTTAGGGTTTTGCTTCTGCTGCAGCTGAACTCAGCAAACGCCTAGCGGAATTCAGCGATAAAAGGAGACAGTTGCTGCCTCCTTTTGTGTCTCTGCTGCTGCTGGCGTTGACGCCAGAGCTGCTGCAGAATGAAGACCCGCTGCTGCTGCTTCAACCATCAGCAGAAGTAGATAGCAGCAGCAGCAACAGCAGCAGCAGCAGCAGCAGCAGGGAGACAGAGGCGCTTCTTAGCATTGAATTTATACTCAAACCCGTCATAGACGCACTGGCTTCCAAAATCATGTACGAGCAAGGGTTTAGGGTTTAGGGTTTAGGGTTTAGGGTTTAGGGTTTAGGGTTTGGAGTTCTTTGTTTAGTGTTTCGGTTGCGGGCTTAGGGTTTAGGGTTTAGGGTCTGGGGTATAGGATTGAAGCTTGCGTTTTAAGGGTTGCTGCTGCTGCCCCTGCTGCTGCTGCTGCTGCTGCTGCCCCTACTGCTGCTACTGCCCCCGCTGCTGCTGCTGCTGCTGCTGCTGCTGCTGCCCCTGCTGTTACTGCTGCTGCTGTCCCTGCTGCTGCTGCTGCTGCAGAGAAGTTGATAATTTGCTGCGTAAGGAAGCTGCGTTTGATTTATCATTTTGTGCTGCTGTTGGCTGGGAAGAAGCAGCAGAAATAATTAAAAAGATAAAAGAAGAAGTAAAGGCTGCTACTCATGAGGCCTTTGCTGCTGCAGAAAGGAGACAGTTAGAAGCAGAGACACCGCAGCTGCAGAATGGCAGCTCGAACCCCTAAACCCTAAACCCTAAACCCTAAACCCTAACTGGTTGGGGGGGGGTTAACTCTCCTTTGCTTATATTTGTACAGATGATTACAATCAAGAAAATAATAAAAATAAAGACAGACAGAGACTAACAGAGACAGAGACAGTAAAGGAGACAGAGACAGAGACAGAGAAAAAAAGAGACAGTAAAACAACAAAGAGACAAAGAGAGAGGTAAAGAGAGAGACAAAGAGATAAAGAGATAAAGGGACAGACAGAGAGATAAAGAGACAGACATAGAGATGAAGAGACAGACAGAAAGAGAGGTAAAGAGACAGACACACTCTCAGGGATATATACAAAGAGAGACAGACAGAGAGAGACAGACAAAGAGACAGATAACAGATATTTTATAAATATGCAATTGCCTTTGCATTCATGTTGCTGTTCTCTT